TACCGTAAAAGGCGACTATGCTTGTCGTAAAAGGCGACTAACGGGATCAGGTGGTCAGGCGCGCTGACTTGGTTGATGCATGTCATCGATCCCAATTGCGTGGATCGATGCTCATGATATTAATCACTGGATTGTCTGGTCCAGATTCGATTATTTACAGACCGACGTCATAAAGCTGGAATATTGCTGAGTGCGGCGTTAAACAACCAATCAACCAACCAATGTTGCTTGAGTTTCAGACTTTGCATGTGACATCACCCTGGTAATTATTGCCCTCAGTGTTCTACACCAAGTTCCAGAAAGTGCTACCAGAATTTGCTAAAATAGATGTAAAAATGTATTTACGTTTACTTATTTTTGGAAATGAATATTATAGCAGATGACGTCAATAAAAAAATCGGATCTTTTACTGCGCAACGGTACCTCTAGATGTCTGCGTGAAGATCTCACTGCACCGAATCTTCCTCATTAATTAATGAGCGTCGAGGCTTCTAAAGTCTTGGTACGAGTGTGCGACGTATTCAGGCAAGCATATTTGTTGTCTCCAACTAAAATTTATATTGTTGCAGATATAGTTTTCGTCATGTCGGTGTGCTATAAATGAGTGTTCTGTGAGGGTTGTCGTTTACTAAGACCATTCCGACCATAATAAAGCAGAATCGCTGTGTAAAGCTGCGTTTGGATTCCATGGAGGTGAGCAGTTTCGTATCGGAGTAACATTATCTGCTTTAAATGAACTTACGGGTTACGTACAGGAGGAATACACTTTAAATTTACAACAACAAAAATCAATAACATACGATGACGTTTCATTATTGTCAGGCCAAGGAATGGCACGGCAGTTATTATGGAAACAAAAAAACATCAAATAATGGTACTGACTGTTTGGCCATGACAAAAACTTTGACAGTTTTTGGCAATATTCCTGCAAGATGTTTGGGCGTGACAAACGAAGCTTTTAAGTACAAGGTTACCTCACGAAAGGCGTGAAGCTCAAGCCCTCGGTTTCAGTGATTTTGAATTTAAGCCACTTTGAACAGTATTTCAGCGTGCAAGCTGATGTGTTAGGAATATCAGAGGCGGTGCAGACGTTTACAATAATAGTAAAACTAGTAGCATTCGGGCTAGCGCAAGGGACAGTTCTTCACGGGGCTTAACCGAATGGGTCATCCGTCCTTTGGAGCATGTCTAGAGTGTCTGGGGTGTGAATGTTGCCTGCAGTCTGTAACGTCAGTTACTCAACATATTCACATTCTGTGTCCTACAGTGTTGGCTTACTTGACTTACACTCAGTGGTGTACACAACCTGGTGACTTTATCTTCACGTTATATACACCTGTTACACTTTGACCGTATACTATTCATCACAAAATTTAATTTCATTCGTTTTGTTGTTTGACGTGAAATTGTATATTTTTTGGCGAATTTAATCCTCTGTCGTTCTCGGTTGCATCGCTTCATATGGGCGATAGGCTGAATTACAACAAACATGTTTTAGGAGCTAACTGAATCATAACAGTTTGAATAATATAATAGGTAAGTTTTATCATACTTATACGGCGATATTTAGTATATACCAAACAGAAGAAGGTCTAGTCGTTTATACATGAAAACAATGCAGTAAAATTAGTCCTTCCAAGAAAATTCAATATGCTGTAGGATTCAGTACCCATGAACAACTGTCTGTTTATGTAACTCGGTCGAGGTACGACTGAGTGGATAAATGTCATGTTACGGAGTATAACGCACATATCTCTCCAAACAGTTAATAACAAATTCTAATCGTAGATTCACGCTGAGAGCGTAATACCACATATTAAGTGAATACTAGCAACCTTTGAGCGATGAGGATTCAATAAAGGGCAGATAAACCGTCATTCCGAGTAGGTTACTCTAAAAATACACATGGTCTATTTTTTCTGAGAAAATGGAGCAATATCTATATGAGATGTGTTGATAATCACTCAATCTATTTCTGAAAGAAGTGACATCAAACAGTCTGTGACGTCTTTGATATATGATCGTCTTTAACCATTCTCGACGATGCGGTGATATGTCTCGTTGGTATGGGCAGCTTCGCTAACAATGTCACCAACGACGTGAATTAGCTAATCAGAATGAATAACAAAACAATGCTCAAGATAATATACTGTCAATAATTGCACCAATACCTTTGCCCCTAAGGGCAATACCAGGATACATCAGCGTAGCACGGAGTTATAGTTTGGCTAGGCTAACGAGTGAATGCATAGTCCATTCAAAAACCTCGTAACGAAATCGCCAGCCGGTTCGTAAACGACTTTGATCGACTTCAGGATTTGAAAGCATGTGAAAAGTCGACTGGGCGTCGTCAGATATTAATCAAATATTTTCAATTATTTTTAATGAAGGTCCTTAGTTGATTTGATGCACTTCGCGAGGTAAGACCCTTTTTATTACAATACAGATGAGATCGTCGTGACTGGGCGCAGCGATTTTCTTTTAAAAATGGACTTCTATAGCCAGTTAATTAAAACTCCCTTGACTCGCGAAGATGGTCATTGCTGATAACTTGAGCAACAGTCCATGCCATTGACGTACAATGTCACGTAGTGCAACCACGTGGGCCCAGTTGACATTGGGTACTCTCCAGAAAGACGCCTTATCTTACGGCTATGTTAAAATATGGGGCTTGAGGTCATATCAGCGCGAAGATTGCTTGGAAACGTGACCGCCTCCGTGGTCTAGTGGTAGAGCGTCCGCCCGGAGAGCGGAAGGTCCAGGGTTCGATTCCGGGCCGCGTCATACAAAAAGACGTTAAAAGATGGTACTTGTTGTTACCCTGTCTGGCGCTCGGCATTAAGGGGCTAAAACAAGGACTGGTCGGCTCGGAGTCAGTATACTGTGTCTGAGTGGGGTATTCATGTTAAACTGCGGCATGGTATCTCAGTGAGCTAGCACTATAAATCGGCATCAGTCCGGACTAGTACAAGCAGCCACACACATACACGTGCATGCACGTCGCTATATAAGTGCAATAATGTTGGACGCGACGTTAAACCCAATTTCACCTCACCTGCTTGGAAACGTTGCTACGTTCTGTCCAGGAGTCCCAGTGGTGTGGTTGTGATACGAACTTACTGTAGTGACACACACAGATAACGCATAATCAACGCAACATCGGACAAGCCTCGAAACACGCCGAACGACATTGTTGTGTTATATTTCCTAATGCCTAAATACAGAACAACTTTATTTGATTGGTGTAGCCATCGTGACTAATATTACAAAATAATCGACATTGCTTTTTCAAAGTGTGTGTGGTATTATGAACTTTCACTGTTTTGCTTAAACCAAGGCAAGTGATGCCAAGTTATGCAGCTAATAGGTGTCGTCCCAGACTATAACGTTTAGTCTATGAAATCTGACATTACACAATACCCCTCTCGACTTTAAAAACAAAAATAAAAATTAAAAATTTCCCTATGCTGTGGAATAGAGCTGGATTGACATTACCTGTTTGCACCCAAATACGTAGATTACCTTCGGAACCGTTCAGATCATTACCAATATCGTAGTTCAGTTATGCAATACAACTAAAGAACTTATCATCAATTGTTTAAGATTATGACATAACATAATAATGCAAATCAGATAAAGCTCGGCGCTTTACCAGGACCGGTTGATATTTTCAATATTGAAATACTCTCCATTATTATCACTGAACTGAATCTAATTTCAACTGTTCATAGGTAGAACCACATTGCATCTGATTATGTACGTGATATATGTCTACATTTATATGTGCATACCAAAAGGTACGCTATGTTGTTTAACTGCTTGCACAAAGATAGATGTTTGTCTCTGATGGTATTACGAATATGTGACCCGACGCAACACTGTGGTATGACAAACGCCACAAAACCTCGCATGAAATGTGCTTCAAATGAATGTAAGCCACACATTTCAATCATCTAATAATCTAATAAGCTACTAAAAGCAGAGTCTATCGGACGAGTCCAACAACATGTATGTCATTAGCGTGTGTTTAAGAAATATGTTAAACAGCGATGATACCAGGTTTAAAGGTCAGCTTATTCTGCCACGACTGTTGCACCTGTCACAAACACCTGCACAGACACGTCAATTGTTCACCTGAAAGTGCACGGGTACATGTTGTACAGGATAACAAAAGGATAACTATATGAACAGGGCTATGCATTGTGAAGGTCATACGTCGACTCTTATCGCCTGCATTAGGTCATGTTAACATGCTTGTTCTCGGTCGGCGCGCCGTGAAGCCAAACACTTTGTACCATTTCTTCGTTGTGAGGTTTTGTGAAAGGGGCAACATCTTGCAGAACCTTTCTGTATTAGCTGACAACAGTTGTTGAGAATTTTTTATCGGTCAGTTATATGTTTCTTTAACTTCGTAGTGAGATCAAGTTCTACATAATTAATCTGTAATATTATAGTTTCACGACTGGTATTAATTAATACATTGCGATTTGTTTGTCTTTCCAAGCCAAACTCTTGTGTTGCTTGCTGAAGATTTTTTTCCACTTTTATCAACAAGTGTTGATATTTTTTACATGTATATCAAAAGACACGAGGGTGAGATTTTATTTATCATCTAACATCATTCTTCCAACTTATTCAGATTGTAGACAGTACTAAGCAGTTTCCACTTGCACAAAGCGATTTGAGCGGTACGATGATCGTAACTCCCATTCTTTAACATTGGCGTACAATAGTCGTAGCGCTAAGATCACTTTGTGCAAGCGGGCCCACTAGCAAAGCCATGACTGATGTCAGTGATGCCTTCACAATGGTATGCAAAGCATTGTGATGCAATTTCGACCAAGTGATATCTCCTGTGGGAGCCAGTTTTTGATGATAAACGATGTTAAGTACAGTTATCATTGGTTTAGTCATAATTTTAGCATGGTTAAGTGATTCTTAGCTTCCTGACGTACTTCGGCTATAATATTGTAATCGTTATTCACTTATCTTGTTTCAAGACACCATCACCAGCCATTAAGATGTCACATTCCAAAGATGAACAGAAGCAGGATGGAAGAGGACAGATGGAATCAGTTCATGATGACGACAAAAGTAATTTCAAGATAAAGTCAGGAGAAGACTCATCGGATGGAGATTATAAACACATTCTACTGTCTTTAGCGACAAAACGGGATGATTCAGGAGATGTTGAGGATAGGCTGTTGGTGGATGGAGGTGAGCAGAGGAAGGTAGTGCACGGCCTGAAGAAGATGACGGTCTTCCCATCAACCATGGTTGGGCGTGGATGGTGTTAGCAGGTGACAAATGGACACAGGCAAAGAAAAGGCTGTTCGTGAAAGAAACAGACCTGATTCGGCGATTAGTTTTGGATCACAAGAACATGATTTTTCCGAATATCATCTGAGAATGTACACAAGCAACCCTGATTTGACATCAATGTCATTGGTGGATATACGAGAGGTTCATTCACAAAAGTATGCTGATGAACAAGAAACACGGCTACACAAAAGTGCGTGCATGCATGTTAAACAAGCTTTTGCAGCATTTGACTTTTCCTTGTTCAAACAACCAATGTTTCGTCTGATTGCCGCATTTTCTCATTTTGGTATGGTGTTAACATTAGCAGAAGCATACCTTCCTGTCCTAGCAAATGAAAAAGGTGTTCCACCAACAGAGGCAGCCTTTTTGTTGACTATTGCAGGTGTGCTTGATTTTTGCGGTAGACTTGCAGTCGGGTTCGTCGCTGATCTCAAATACATCAAAATCAATCATTTGATGGTTATTGGAATAGTAATATCTGGAACAGTGGCTCAATTCGTCTCTTTTTACATCACGTACCCACTTTTAATCGTATTCTCCGTGCTTGCCGGGCTCTTTGGCAATTTTTATAATTGCCTGATTCCTATTGCCATTGTTGAGTTTATGGGACTGAAACACATGGCAAAAGTTCTTGGATTTATAGCTGTGTTTCATGGGCTTGCAATGGGGCTGACACATCCAATCATGGGTAAGTCTTCCCATCAGTTTGCATGTTATTAAATTCATAAGGTGTAAAACAATATTAATCATACTGCGTTTCTGTTTTTATAACTCTTTAATTAATAAATTCAAAGCTTAATAGTTTCATATAAAATAGACATAAAACGTTTAGACATGCTACAAATATATAACGTAATGTAAAACCCCAAAATTTTGACGGTGCGAACCTTTCAAATGAAAGAATTCGCGGTCTATCGAGTTATTGGGATGTTTGGGCAGAGTAAAATGCTGAACAGTTAACGAATTAGGGTGAGTAAGTATGGTTTCCTGCCGCTGTTATCAATATCCCAGCTGTATTGTACCCATGTGGGCAACGAACCCGGACAATCGATGTGAAGAGAAAACGCTGTAACCGCTATGTTACCCCAGCGGCCTCATAACTTTGATGTTCCGTATATATTGAAACATTTGATACTTCCTGTTATGATGCAAAACCGTTAAGTACTCGATTTTAAAACAAATGCTTGGTTTTGCTTCTTCACAGATACTGATACTGAAATTTTAATAACACTATAAGAAAATATAACATATGTAGTCATTAAATTTGAAATATTTCATATTTTGCATAAAATTCTTATTGTTTTAAACATTACTTACCGTAACACATTTCTTGCAGGGGCAATCCGTGACCTGACTGGCTCGTACAACTTGTGCTTTAACTATATTGGAATATGCAACTATATCTGTGCCACATTGCTTCTGTGCATACCACTAGTCACAAAGAAGACACCAACGACACCAGAAGCAAAGGAATTGGAAGAAGGCCAACCACTGAAACATGACTGAGATTGCACATTTAGAGTGCCATGTGTAGATGCATAGATGCCTTTTTATATGTAGCAGGGCGTGGAGTCATCCAAAAGATGACATCCTTACCTTGTCAGCTTGCTAATCGGGTTAACCTCTTTGGTCATGTGGACAAGGCGTCCGACCTCTAATCAGAAGGTCTGTGGTTCGAATCCCATCAGGGGACTCGCAAATTTTATGGCCGCTACATATATATACTGTCTTATATCCACTACATATTCGTTTGGAGATCCCCAGGCCGGCTCGCTCCCCTGATCTCTCACCAACCGAGCACATGTGGGATGAGATGGATCGGCGCCTTCGACGTCAACCACGTGTTCCACAGACACTCCAGGAAATTCGAAACATGCTCCAGCAGACCCACAGGACTTCGTGCGACGCCTGGTCCATCCCATGAGACGAAGATGTGTTGCTTGCATCAAAACCAGAGGTAGACACACACGCTAATGATCTGTAAATTGACATTTTGCCATGTTCATGTTTTTTAATGAAATCACGCATTTTCTGAAGTCAGTATGGCAAATTAAACCATTTGAACACTTACAGAAGTCTTTTATCTGTTGGAAACCGAAATTATTTCAGATTTGGTAAAAAACATAACTTTGCATTAAATCTTATTCAATGTTGCAGGAACCTTTAATATAATTTGGTGCATGTGTACATACAGTGCCCCCGATTACCATGACCTATGGGACACGATAGATAGATAGATAGATAGATAGATAGATAGATAGATAGATAGATAGATAGATAGATATGGTTTCAATTTAAGTGTTTCTTTTATAATATATATATATATATATATATATATATATACTAGCCACATAAAGAAACTGTGCACGGAGAAATATATTCTGGATTGAAATACAACACAGCAAGAACAAAATGATGCAGACGCTGTAGCAGCTGAATGATCGGACCATAAGAAAATGTCAATGGGACCTGAACAACATATGTTACGATGACGTCAGAAGATCAAAATGGAGTAGGGGGTCAAACGACTAAGTCACAAAGTCAATAACGGGTATGACAACCCTGTGCGTGAATCACAGCAGTGCATCGGCGACGCATGGAGTCCACCAAATGAGCATGGAAGGCCTGGGGAATGGCCTGCCATATCCTCCTCAAATCCTGTGCCAAGTCACGGACGTTATCTGGAGGATGTGGAAGACGACGCAGACGGCGCTCCATTTCATCCCGAACATGCTCTATTGGGGAGAGATCTGGAGAATTTGCAGGCCATGGCAGTAACATGACATTGTTATGGTGAAGGAAATCCATTGCGACCCTAGCCGTGTGAGGACGAGCGTTGTCCTGTTGAAATGTCAATCCCGGGCCATGACGTTGCAGGAAAGGAATGACCACAGGCCTCAGAATCTGATCTCTGTAGCCAACACCAGTGAGATTGCACTGAACAACCACCAAAGGGGTCTGGTGCCGTGCTGTTATCCCACCCCAAATCATCACAGAGCCACCTCCACAACGATTCCTCTCCACAATACAGTTACGTGCATAACGTTCTCCCAAACGCCGGTAGACACGTTGGCGCCCGTCACTGTGGGAAATGTTGAACCTCGATTCATCTGTAAAGACAACATTTCTCCACCATATTCGAGGTTGGCGAACATGATTTCGACACCATCTTAGACGGTTGACTCGATGACGGTGTGTCAGGATGGGACGTATGGCAGGGCGTCGTGGTCGAATCCCGTACTGACATAAACGATTCCTGACAGTGTGGGGATGGATACGGCGCAGTCCAGGAATTGTCTGGGCCGTCGTTACTGCCGTTTGGAACCTGTGTCAGAGATGTGTAACTCCAATCCATCTGTCCTGTCTTGGCGTCGTTACTCGGGGACGTCCTGAACGTGGGTGGTCGGCAACGTCATTTGTGTTCTGATAACGCCTCACCAATGCCGCTATTGTGTTACGATGGCATTGGAAATATGTTGCCACCTATTGTTGCCTCATTCCCGCTCGGATCATTCCAATGGCTTCATAATGCTGTGCAGCTGTCAATCTTGGCATGATTTGCTTGTGATATGCTTGTGTCTGCGCCTGAGAAGTTTTGAATCTTTGAATGACAAAGATCACGATGCACGTGCAGGCCCCCATCAATGACGTCATATCGCATGGCACGTGCATGAGCGTTTGAATTTCTCCAATAATTGCTGTGTTCAAACCTATATTTCATATATGGACGGTGTGCCCTTATATCTATATTTTCTCCGTGCACAGTTTCTTTATGTGGCTAGTATATATATATATATATATATATATATATATATATATATATATATATATATATATATAATAAAACAATAAAGTCCACGTTAGTCCATCATCTTCTTTATATCAGTTTCATACATAGTACTTTCGCTGTCGCATGACAGCTCTTCAGTGTAACTGACAATGACATATAATGACGTCATACTTATGATGACGTCATAAATTACAACTGGGACGTCATAATGTATTTACACTCTCCATCGACGACACCAAGTTATTTAACAATTGTAGGGAGACATTTGAATTAAATATACAGTATTTGTAAAGTAACAGTGTAACATTTACGATTGAAATGACAAATCTATTAATACATTCTAGAGTTCAATTTTGGTTTCATCAATTGGATAAACATTTGTTCTTTTTCCAGTCTCAGCTGCTTGTTACTTGTATACAATTTATAAAACGGAAAATTGTAAAATTCCCGTTTCCGCAATCATCAATGTGTTTGCTGACACCTAAGCATCGAACATTAGGGTCTCTAATCTGCTGTTTGTGTACAGTGACTCTATCTTTTAATTCCATGCCGGTTTCACCGATGTAGTTTTCGCCGCATCCCGAACATCTCATAACATACACCACATCTTTGCTGCGGCAGTTCATGTCGGCTTTCACATTGAAACCCTTGCCATTTGCAAAAAGGAAAGTAGTACCTTCACTTATGATGTTACACGTGCCGCATCTTGGCGTGTTACATCTACATGTACTTACACATGGTACACTCTCTGTACAAGAATATTTGGATGGACAAAGAATTTGCTTGAGATTTTTGGTTGCCTGGTATTTTTTATAATTGTAAATTTATTCAGTCATATATATGTGTGTGTGTGTGTGGGTGTGGTTTCAATTTTAATGTTCCATTATATAGATAGATAGATAGATAGATAGATAGATAGATATAGATATATATAGATATATATAGATATATATGTATGGTTTCAGTTTTAGTGTTTCTTCTATATATTAAAGATACACTAAAATTGATCAAATTTGGCCATATAACCGTATACTTAATATTTGCAATGGATACGTATGGATAAGTGTCGATTATCGGCAAAAAAGGTTAGCTTATTTGGGGAACTCACCCTTTAAGACGGCCAGGAGATACGTTGCCTATTTACGTTGTAATTTTGAAATGTACATTATGGTTTAATTGTAAGGC